TAGTTGAATGAAATTAGAAAAATAAATGAGTGACTAAATACGTAATTTATCTTTTAATTTAAGTCATGATTAGCAAAATTGAATAAAATAGAATAATTTAATTCAAAAATAACTATATAAGAATTGAAAATTATGCAAATTGTTAAAAATCGAAAATTTAATATAAAAAACCCAATGATTTATTTGATCCGATCGTTCTTTTAATCTTTAATGATTCTTTTATTATTAATTTTTTTTAAAAAAATAGCTAGTGTCATCAATTAAATTATAAATTAATGATCAAAATAATTTAACCGTGATCAAATTCTTACAACATACCGACTTTTTCGGATTTTAACGAACATATTTATAAATATAAAATCAAATATTTTTAAATCAATTAAAATTAGTTTATCATTAATAAAATAACTAAGCTAAACATATTTATATGTTCAGTTTTTAGTTTAGGACATTTATATTAACTTAATAGAAATAAAGAAATAGAAATTAAACTGCTTGTAAATTACTTATCAAACGTTTAATTTATTTACATTAATAATAATTTTTAAAATATATTAAAAAATAGCGTGTTTTGTAAGTTACTGTTTAAAAGATCAAAAATAGAATCACATTTCATCACCTTATAAACTATTGGGTAATTATATATTTTAGTATTTAAAATCAACTTTAAGATTTAATTTAATATTTGGAGTTTTCTTTTAGTTTGGTATCTGAATTTAGTTTTTTAGTTCAAACTAATATCTAACCTTAAACTTTTTGTTTAGTACATATGAATCTTTTGGTCCAATTCTCTTCCTTTTTCTAATCCCAAAACGAAACCTAGAAACGACTAAGAAAAACCCTAGCCTAAAATGGAATCGACCTCTCACCTCCCCGACACTGGCGACGGTCTTGGCTCCGACGAGAGCTCCAAAGACTAAAAGGTAAAGAACTAATCCCCACTCCTCTTTTTTGTTTCTTTGTTTCGAAAAATGGAGAAAAAAGATCCTGGAAAATGCACCAAATGATACCTTGAAAATGCTTTCTTTTTTTAGTTGTATTGATTTGTTGTTCCAAAGGAAAAAATGGGAAAATACCCGTTACAGATGATTTTCGAGGGAAATGGAAATGGGGGAGCCTCTGTTTTTCTCGAATCGGAAGGGGGAGGATCAACAACCCCTTTTACAACTCGTTTTTGGGTTTATATCGACCCCTCTATTACAAAACGACAAACCGAAATTTACATTCATTTTATTTCATGTTTTTCCTGTGATTTTTCTTTCTCAACGAGGTTGATTTGGAGAGTTGAGGAGGCTGATGATGGAGCTTTAGGACCATCGGGTTGCTGCTCACGTGGCCATGAGACCACTACTGGTGTGGCTTGTGCATGCGTGGACTGGAAACCGAACGGTGGAAATGAGCACAAGGCTCTAGACGGCGGCAACAACGGGTAAACCCTCCTTAGGGTTTAGGGTCTTGGGCTGCTGAATGTAGTGAATGGGCCTTGTATGTGTGTCATAACGTCTCTTGGGATCCGTTAGACTAAAAAAAAATTAATTCGGGGAATACGATAAAATATAATTTTAAAAAATACAATTTGATTTTAGAATCGTCACCAATCTTTAAATTACGTAGGTTGGAAACCTTAAACATTTTTTACCAAAAAAAATCTTTTGGTCCAATTAATTATTATATTTAAAATAATATATTTATATTTTATAAATTTTAAAATTATTTGAATTCATTAAAGTTTGTCCAACCTTAATATAATTTAAATTAAAAAAATCATATTTATGTATCTAATTAAAAAATATATAAATATCAAATTAAATTAAGAAGTTAAATTTAGAAATTAATTTGAAAAAGAAATTCCAAGTTTATGTATTTTATTGGAGAAAAAGTTCTAAGTATCAAATTGAACTTCAAAACCAAGTTGAGGTACCAAAAATATATATATACCCTAAATTATTCTCCACCGTCAGATATAGTCCCATCGTCTTCCCATATAGAAAACCCTTACCTCTTCTTTTGCTGCCAAACGCAAAACGCAAGCTTCGAAACAGCGCCAAAGCATCCCCCGGAAAATTCATGGCGGCAACTGTCTCTTCTCCTTGGGGCAAACCCGGCGCGTGGGCTCTCGACGCCGAAGAGCACGAAGCTGAACTCGAACAGCAAAGGCACGCCGATTCTTCCAACGAAAAGCTGGGCACTTCTCCTTGGGATTTCCCTTCTCTAGCCGCCGCCGCCACTACTAAGGCCAAGAAAAAGAAGGGCCAAACCGTTTCCCTCGCTGAATTTAACTATGGAGCCTACACGCCTCACTCACGAGGAGGTCCTCGCGCTCCCCACCGGTCCTCGCCAACGTACCCCCGAGGAGCTCGATCGGAACCGGCTTGGTGGCGGGTTTAAATCGTACGGTTCGAACAGATACAATAATTCCAACGGAGACGATTCGTCGAGTAATAGTAGATGGGGATCTTCTAGGGTTTCGAACAGAGATTCCAATAGAGAAATTACTCCCTCTCGCGCTGATGAGATCGATCCACCGGAAATGGATTTGGCAGTGGATTTGAGAGGAGAGATAGAGGCAGTGGCGCAGGAGGGAATTTCGATTCGCAATCCAAAGCTGATGAAGTAGATAACTGGGCTGCTAGTAAGAGTAATAATAGAAGCCCCAATGGTGCACCACCGCCTAGGAGATTTGGTGCGGGTATTTGAGCGAATTAGCATTTTTGAATCACTTCAATCTAGGGATACACCTAGGGATTTGGATAACTGGGGAAAGAAAAAGGAGGAGGCTGGCAGTGGTGCTGCTGGGAGTGGTGGGGCGAGGCCAAAGTTTTTTCTTCAACCACGAACAGTACCTGTGACGAAGTACTCGACGGTGGCCAAGCCCAAAGGTGCAAATCCTTTCGGTGAGGCTAGACCGAGAGAGGAGGTGTTGAAGGAAAAGGGGAAAGACTGGAAGGAGATTGATGAGAAGCTTGAAGCTATGAAGATCAAAGAAACGGTCACTGTTAACAGAGAAAGAGAGAGAACGAAAGACAAGCTTCGGTAACAGCCATGCCCCTGCTGACAAGAGCTGGAGGAAGAGTGAACCTGTTGAAGCTGCAGCTGATGCTGATCAACCCTAAAGGTTTCTTCAATTAACTGAAATTTGGTTGCTTGGTTAATTTTAGAATATTGCTTTATATATATATATATATATATATATCACATGAACCTTGATGCCTTTTAAGAAACAAAGTAGAAGTAGTATAATTGAATTTTTTGCATGTTAGAATTGTGTTGGAACAGGTGTTTTCTCACCTATATACCTGTATTTGAACAATATTTCTGGGGAATGATTATACTTTAACTAGCTAAAGAACAAATAAACATGCATATTTTTCATCTCTCATGCTCCTCTTATCGTCCTTCCCATAGTTTTCACCTCAATTTGAGCATTTACATAATATGAGTCTTAAAAGTATGGATAATGCTGTTCCTTCCAGGCGAAAGTGCATTGTTTGCAAGAACTTCTTGGTAGTTATACTTCTCAAAAGTCCCTGTTCTGAGTTTTGCTCGAGTTTGAGTTTGCTTTTGATTGTTAATTTTGTTGCAATAACATGACATTGCTAATTCTGATATTTTTCTTTCTAGAATCCAGTGCCGGGAATATGGAAAACGGCCATGTCACAGAATCCAAAGCTTAAGGTCCATAGGAAGTGAGAAGAAAAGCTTTATTGGAACCTTTTTGGATGTCTAAGAGTTAGAGTTGATGATGTGACTTTGTTTTTTATTGTTATTATTGCCAATGCAGTATTTAGAACAATTTTGATAGGGCCATGAATTGGTTCGCATTGGCTTTTGCTAAAGATAGTCTTGTTTTCTTTTCATACTTGCCTCATGTTATTAGGGTTTTCATAATTTTTCTTTTTTTTTTTTGTTGAAGTTCTTTGTTTCATTCATATTTGTGACCCTGTATTGAGATTATAATTGTTTGTATTGCTGACCAAATAAATCAACGTGTTTTCTTTTGGTTGTTGCATTAATTATGTCTCTCTTGCAACTCTCGTCTTTGAGCACCGTCTATATGTGTTAGCTTGGTTGACATAATTGCTATTTCTTCATCCAGAAGAACTTGAGGTCGAGCTCGCTTAAGCACTTATTATCCGTCGATCTATGGGTCAAAACATTTGCATTATATCATGTTGGTATGATTTATTGGTTATAATATGCAAGTATATCATTTCCAAAACAATCATATAAGAATCAAAGATTAACCCAAGGGAAGTTGATAAGATAGGAATCTTCGGCTGTATTTGGACGAGATATATGTGTAGATTGTTTATAATTTTGACATATGAACAGCTTAAAATGTCACAATATTCCCTCAGTTAATTTCTTTCCATTTAATTTATTTAAATTTGAATATATTTCATATCATTCATACAATTCATTATATTTATATCTTCTTATGTTTTTAATCGTCTTACCTTTAATATGTATATTCAAATAAAAAAGTCATTTGCTTACCCTTTTGCTAATAAAATGAATAATCCTACACTCCTACAAATTAACTTGGAAAAATAATATGAGAGTAGAATTCATACTTTTAATACCAAAGAAAACTAAACAGAAGGTATATGATTTGTAAGGAATGTATCAAACGGGTCTTAAAAGAAACTCTGGATCACAAATTTTTATTTATTTTATATTAACTTTTAAAATATTTTATACGGAATTTATTAGTATTATTAAAACAATGACCAAATGTCAATCTTGGCGTTTTGTATATATATTTCTCGAAAGCCACACTCCACGGTTCGTACGTTAAAATTAAACAAGATTTGGTTTCAATCTCAATCACCAACCGAAATTTGCTTAAAATAACACACAATCTGTCTTCAACCTTCAATCAAAGTATTGAAAATTCACCTTCATGCTTATTATAATTTAGATTCGTCGAATATCGTATTCGTATCATGTTTGTATTATATAAACTAAGAAACTGAGGCTTAAAGTTGATCCCAATGCCAATGGAGAAAAGCTTGATACCGGCCTGGATCCTGGTTCTCACCACGGCCATTGCACTCGCTCCTTCCCTATGCTATTACAACGATGACAGGCCATATGTTCCGCCCCCACAAAAACAAACCTATCTCCACTTTTTTTTACACGACACCTTCAGCGGCGACTACCCTAGTGCGGTCTTCGTAGCAGATCCTAACACGACGACTGCCTTCGGTCAGGTGACAGCGGTCGATGATCCGCTCACCATCGGCCCAAACATAACGTCAGAGGTAATTGGAAATGCTCGAGGTCTATGGGTGTTGAGTGCCCAAGACGCTGCAACTCTTATGGTCTACATGGACTTTGAGTTTACGCTAGGTGAATTCAATGGCAGCTCCATCAGTGTATTTTCGAGGAATCCGATCATTGAACTGGAGCGCGAGCTCGCGGTGGTCGGAGGGAGAGAAAAGTTTAGGATGGCACAAGGATTTGCACGACTTAAAACTTACTTCGCGAATTTCAGGAACGGCGATGTCATCGTTGAGTATAATGTGACTGTAATTCATTATTAAGATGATAAGTTTTGCCAGTTCTATTCCATTGTTTATTTCATCAATAAAGTTAGTCCCTCTTTTAGACTTGGCATGCCATATTTTAGGAATTTTACCGGTTCAATTTTCTTGTTTATTATTTTTTACATCTAATTAATAATTTGAGTTATATAATTTTAAATTATTTTAAATTCAAAGTCTAAATATATAATATTCTAATTACAACTTTATTTATGATTTCTGGAATTATACAAGTTAAAGATGATAAAATTTATAAATAAAAATTAATATTGGATCTACTAATATTTCATACATTTAGTTTATTACCCCACTTATGTTTTGATATAAGTACAACTTTATTTTTTCTTAATTTTTTAATTTTTAATTAACTTTATCTTTATGACCCGTTTTCTTCTGCTTTTATGACACGTTTTTCTCAGTATTTTGGCATTTTTTGTTGTTTGACCGTTTTTTTCATTTATCTTTTTTTCATGGTTAAATTTGACATCGTCATGACTAATCTGACTAATCAAGATGATGTTTGTTTGTTATCACGTCGATCTTTCATTCTTTGGACTCTCAAATTAGATTTGGTTATGCGATTTGTGTTTGTGGATAGTTTTCTCACATAGCCCGACTCTGATTTACGATTTGTCGATGATCTTTCTGTAGCTTGATCTTATTTTATGGTTCAGTTGTTGATGGTATCAGATCCATTTGCATTTCATTTCTTCTAGTTTTTTGGTTAAATTTTTTAACTTATTCCTTGTAAGGTCATTGTGTGTGTGTGTGTTTTTTAATTTTGCAATAACTCCTGGAGGGGAAGAAGAATTTTTCTCATAATGGATAATGTCCCACAACCTAGGAGAAAATGAATGTGTCAACTGAGAGCTTTTAACCACCTGCTCTAAAGATTGTTATCAATCCTTGTATAATATTAAGTGACTAATTTTTATTTTCTTGTGTCGATGATTATAGAAAAATGTCCTACTCATGTGCTTAGTTTATAGCTATGATTGTAAATATTTATTATAATTATGGATATTTTCTTTTTAATTAAACTAACTATTTTTATAAAAAAATCATTTTAATATCAAGTACAACTATAGAAAATAATATGAAATGCAAATTATGAACATGATAAAAATAAACGAAACAAAATAGAGAAAGCATAAAATAAAAACATGGATTTCTCAAAATTATATAAAAAATAACTTTGAAAATATATAAATTAATATTAATAGCATTGGTAATGTACAAGATAATATCTATTCAAATACTCTCTCAACCATTGGAGATTTAACACTTATATCTCTAAATATGTGGTGCTCGAACCCGAGACCTCAAAAAATGATAATAATTCATTTACCATTGAGATCACTTGATTCATAAATATAATATCGAGTTAATTATATATATATATATATAATTTTATCTAAATATTATAAAATAATCATAATTAATTTTACTGAATTATTAAAAAAGGTCATTAAATTTTATCTAAATGTTACAAAATAGTCATTATTTTATCTAATTATTGCAAAATTACCATTAAATTTTATCTAATTATTAAAAAATGATCATTAAATTTTATCGAACTGTTACAAAATGGTCTTTAAATTTATCGAATTGTGCAAAATGATCATTAAATTTTATCTAACTATTACAATTTATAAAATGATCATAAAATTTATCAAACTTTATTATTACAACATTATATTGATCGTTTTATAATAATTTAATAAATTTACGATCATCTTATAACTTTTGAAAATTCAACGATTGAAATGAACATCTGATCATAATTTAGAGATTTTTAGTATACTTTACCCTTAAATAAATTAAGCCTCACTTTTAAAATTTATATAGCTCTTAGACCTGTGTCATTTTACAATTTGACCACCAATATTTTATCCTGATTTCATTACAATCGGTCGAGGACTAAAACATAATAATTAAAAAATGCAATATGAAAATTAATTTTGCTCAAGAGTCCACTCTTTACCTAGTACTTTTTGTTCATTTCCGAAAGAGCTGACGACTAGCGATCTTGAAAGCTTAGAATACACAAAACTTATCAATCGCCAACCGCTTAATATTAAACACTTCATAATTGTTCGGCTCAATTCCTATTTTATTCGGAGTTCAAGTTTAAACTTGTATAGTTTGAAAAATAAAACGACGTTGTTTTGGTTTTTTTAGTTTACTAATTTGATTATGTTATTATCTGGTCTCTAATTTCTTTGATTTTTTATCATTCGTTTTAAGTCCATATAATCTAATTTGAACCACAAGATCCTTATTCATAGTAGAATATCGTAACTTTGTAATTTTGATTCTTCTTTCTGACAACAAATATTTTATTCTTTAATTTAATTCATCAACTTTGTAGTTTATTCAATTTAGTCGTCCAAAGATAGTTCTTTACAAATTCTTCTCTCTTATTAATTCATCTGCTCCTTCGTACTTTCATTGTTTCTCCATCTCAAAATCACTTCTTTAAAACAATATTATTATAAATATATTATATAATTTTTGAGAACATCTATTTTGTTAAATAATATTGCAAATCTTATTTATAACGTGTAGTATAATATTATAAATCATTACAAATCACTTCTTCATTGTTAAATATATATATATATATATATATATATATGATTAGAGAGAGTTTTAAATTGAAATTAATCAGTAGTATAATATTATAAATAATTACATTTAAATTTGAACATAAATTAAAATAAATATTTATTTTGGCCTGACTCAAATTTTATATACTCGACTTGAAAAATCAAATAAAATTTAAATGATAAAGGCAAAAAGACATCTGAGGCTCTTATACTTTTGGAAAAAAAAAATTAATGTGGCACTCGAATTAATTTTTCACTCAATGTGTCCCTCCAGCTCAGAAAACACACCCAGTGTGACTATTTGACAAAAATATTCCGTCGTTAATCGTTATGATGTTGATGTGGCAGTTCACAGTGTTGATGTAACGGTTCATAGAGCTGACGTGACAGACCACAGTGGTTGATGATGTGGCAGATTGGTTTTTGTTCTTATTCGAGAGTCAAATTGATTTTTTTAAAGTTCATAGACTTATTTAATTTTTTAAATAAATTATTTAAATTTTTAAATATAAAAATACTCAAATATTCAAAAAATTAAATACTAAAAATAAAAACTAAATTAGTAAAAAAATTAAATATATATATAAATACTATAAAAAAATTAAAATTGAATATATATCATAAATTATGAATATGAAATCAAAAATATTTTTAAAAACATATGTTATACACATGTAACATACGGTTATATCATCAAAATTTATACAAATATTTTTATTGAATTAGTTGAGACTTACAAATTTTGTACTCTTACTGGATTGTTCGAAGTATGATTAAATGTGTGTATTGATAAAAAAATTATTATTATTCTTAATATATTTAAATACAAAATTTGCAAGTTTCGACTAATCCAATAAAAATACTTTATATAAGTGTTAATGATAAAACTATATGTTACATGTATATATTATGTATAATATATCTTTTTAAAAATATTTTTAATTTCTTAATAATTTATAAATTATCATTTTATAGTTTATGATATATACCAAATGATCTCTTTTAATCTACAATAATCATAACCAAATTAATTAAATTAAATCAAATATATCACTGAACCATTGCAAAATTATTGATGTTCAAAGACCAAATTCGATATAATTAATCTAATTAATTTGATTTGATTAATTTATCTCAAAAGAAATCAATGTTGGTAATAGTGCTCTAGGCCTATTGTATTGTATGTGCATGATATTTTGATTATTCGATTTGTTATTATCATAATTTACATGTCTTTTAAATATTAATATTCTTTAATATTATTGTTTATTATTCTAAATGTCCCGATTCGACTATTATTACGAGAACAATAATAAAATAAGATTGATATGAATTTTGATAAATATTCATGGGTTGAATATGTGAATTGTGATCCAAATTAAATTCATATGAATTTGTTGAGAAAAAATATTAGATCGACTCATTTTTAGATTAATATATAAATTAATGTCATAAATTAATCTTTAACAGTTATGTCATTAAATCTTTAGACTTGAAATTATTACAGTTCTCAATATTATAATTATTATGTTTTAACATAGTCAAGCGTTGTCTTTAATCAGACGAATATAAAAGTTATGCTTGAACATGATAAGAATAATATAGTGAGATGTTAGCGATTAAGATGAAATTTATCCCTCTTGTCATAAGAGAGGTATCTCAAGGCCCCTCAAGAATTGAGACTAAGAAATGCATGAACATGCTCAAATAAGTTGGTAGAAATCAATGTCATTTGTTTAGTCAGTTTAATTGTGCATCGAGAAACTGAAGATAGAAGGATATAAAGTTGATATTTTTCATGCATTATATTCTATCAAGATATTATGAGATAAAAGGATTATGAAATAAGTTGTATTGAAAGAATTAAATATAGATCTCACTTAAATAATTTTTATTTTAAGGTTTGAATTTAAGAAAATAATATATTAATATTAATATAAGAATATATATTAAAAATCCTAATATGATTACAAGTTAAGAACAATTTTCCGTTTAACATTAAAATATCTCTTTAAATTTAATTAAGAATATTTTTTAATCCACTTGAGATACTAAATATATATTTAAACCTTTTGGATTCTCAATTTTTTCATTACAATTTTAAAAAAACTATAACCTAAATCTCTGTATAGATTTTATGTGATTAATTTAGGAAGAATTAAGGGTTACTTTTGTCACTGTAGTGAATCCAATTTATCATTTTCACCCATATCGTATTTTCGCATCAATTTTGTCCTCAAAGTTGTTTAATTGTATCATTCTATATCATACACCTTACTTAAAACCCTAAACCAATAACCCTAAACCATAACCCCATAACCTCTAAACCTTAATCTTTAACTTAAAACTCTCAATTTAGAGTTTTAAGTGAGGGGTATGATATAGAATGAT